CAATCGACAGCGTGTTACTCTGAAGGAATTCATGCACCGGTGGCACTGTTGGTGACGGTGGCATTACTCCGTAGCGGTTCAGACGCTCGCCTGCTTAGCTCGCGGCCTGCTCGCCTGCTTTACGCGTGCTGTATGCTTTTTGAGGCGCCTCAAAAATCTGCTTTACGCGTGCTGTATGCTTTCTGCTAGGCTTTTTTCAATGCCTTGTACCTCTTAGCTTCTACCAGGATTCCTCAGCGAGCCAGTCAGCCCGCCTTCGCCCTGTCGCGGACGTGTGATTGCGTTTCTGAGCTTTTTTTGTTCAATTCTCAGAAAACCTGCAGAATACTTTTTGAAGTACCCTGTCAGCCACCCACTCCGCCTCGGCGCTGTCCCGAGGGTGTACAGTCAGCGAAGCGAACCAGCACGCGAATGCGCGAGGAGACCCCGACGCAACGCGATATTAATATCATAGAAACCGTTCTCGCGAGTGTACATATATAATGGATTAAAAGGGTGCAAGGAGCTGCGCGGAGTCTTTTCTTGTATCGCTTATAGAGGAGCACAAGCAGCAGAGCCTAGGACAGGACTTAAGACTTCAAGCAGCATCTGCAGCAGCAGCAGCAGCAGCAGCAGCAGCAGCGGCAGCGGCAGGAGGAGCGGGGTCGCGGCGAGATGTGCGTGGTGGTGCCGATATGCGGGTTCGGGGAGTATCCGCAACGAGACACGTTTAAGGAGTCGTTGAAGGCTCTTGAAGCGGATATACAGCACGCAAACACGTTAATGTGAGTGTTCTTTAGGTTGCTTATAGCGAGCATAGGGTTTCGTGGTCTCGTTATGCAGATTTGGGAGTATTCACCATAACGCGCAAGTATGATGTGTCTTCAATTATCTTACAATGAGTGCAATACAACCGGAAATGGTGTTAAAACTTGAAGCGATGCTCCTACGGGGCAGCTGAAATCAAATTTACGACACTATATGGGCCATACCTGCATATGCGCCTGCGTCTCCTGCTCGCGTTCGTCTTTCCCTTCCTTCGTCATGCCTTCCCTCCTCCCACGCGCATGCATTCAGGGCGCGCGACATGATGCGGGACTACGACGAGGGCGTATCTGCTTCAGCCCACTGGCACCGCTTGTCCGTTTCTTCATTCCTCCCTTTCCCCCCACCCCAACCTCCACAGGGCGGGCGACATGATGCGGGATTACGACGGGGCGTATCTGCAGATGCGCCTGGGCTTCAGCCCACTGGCGCCGCTTGTCCTTTTCCTCGTGCGCTGGACGGATTGCAGTTTGGCGGGGGCGCTGGGGCTGCTGAGAGTGCTGGTGTTCAAGGTGCATAAGAGCGGGCGTACTACCGCTGCCAGACACGAAAGAAAGGCGTCCCTTAACGAGTTTTATGGTGAGTGACATCTGGTTGCTGCTTATAACGAGGACATGGGGCTGCTGAGAGTGCTGGTGTTTTAAGTGCATAAGAGCGGCCGCACCACTGCTGCTCGGCATGAGAGAAAGGCGTCTCTTAACGAGTTTTATGGTACGTGGAGTAGGTAGGTAGCTTGTAACGAGGATAAACGGCCTGCTAAGAGTGGGTTGGACGGATTGCAGCCTGGCGGGGGCGCTGGGGCTGCTGAGAGCTGATGTTTGAGGGGGACTCAGAAATCACCTTTGGGGGGGAGGGAGGGGGCGCTGGGGCTGCTGAGAGTGCTGGTGTTCAAGGTGCATAAGAGCAGGCATACCACTGCCGCTCGGCATGAGAGAAAGGCGTCTCTTAACGAATTTTACGGTGAGTTATATTGAGGATGAAGGGTTGTTGAGGGTGCTGGTGCGTAAGAGCAGGCGCACCACTGCTGCCAGACACGAAAGAACGGCTTAAGGAGTTGTACAGTGAGTGTCATGTGGAAGGTGCTTATAACGAGGATGAAGGGTTGTTGAGAGTGCTGGTGCATAAGAGCGGACGCACCACTGCTGCCAGACATGAAAGAAAGGCGTCTCTTAACTTGTTGTACCCTGTTATATCGGACATGGAACAAGCAAAGCAACATGCTTATCCTCGTTATTATCCCCTCCACCACTATCCCTACTGCAGGGTTCCTGTACCCCTCTTTGCTACAGCTTTACCCTGGTATATCGGAAGTGGAGCAAGCGAAGCAGCAGAGGCGGTGTGACGAGCATTACTTGTGGCCGAGAATGGACGCAGCTGGTAGGTGGGCATGGGCACTGAATGTTTCTTGTCGCTATGGGATGGGAGAGAGATTCGTCTCTTAAGGTTTTTGGTACAAATCAAGTGAGGGTGTTTTAGAGAACTCTCAAAAACACTGCGTAACGATTTTGTTGTGATCGTCGTCATGAAAGCGAGGATGGGAATATCGGCTTTTTAAGCGTCTTAAAAGACGAGAATGGGAATATTGATACAGCTAAGTGAGGGGTTTTCTAAAGGACAGCTCAGAATAATTTATTTGTCGAATCTTTTTCTCCTTGCAGGGCAGTCAAGACCACCCCCCTCCGCCTCTGCCTCCCCCATCTCCTCCTCCACCTCTTGGCCTTCCCCTGCCTCCTCCTCATCCTCCTGCTCGTCTTATAACGAGGATGAAGAGATAGAGCTGTTGACGGGGATGGAGAGGGAGAAGGAGAGGGCGAGGGAGAGGGAGCGGGAGCGCGAGTGCGGGATCTGCCTTGAGGAGGTTCGATCCGACGGCTGTGATCGCGTCGCGATCCCCAGCTGCGCTCACTCCATGTGCTCTCGATGCTTCAAGGACTGGTGAGTCTCCCCATCCCCCTTCTTCTCCTTCCCCCTCCCTCCCCATCCTCCTTTTCATCTCTCCCCTCTCCCCTTCTTATAAACGCTCCTCATTCCAACCCACTTCTCCCTCTTCAGCATCTTTTACCAACCATTCCCCACTACACTCCACTTTAACACCGCCCCACCCCACCCACTTCACCCACCCCACCCCACCTCACCCCACTCCACCCCATCCCACCGCTTTCTTCCGCAGGAGCTCTCGCTCGCGCTCCTGCCCGTTCTGTCGGGACGACTTGGGGAAAGTGCAAGAGACCGACCTGTGGGTGATGGTGGGGGCAGAGGAAGCAGAGGACATGAGAAAGATCACTCGGGACAACCTTCGGCGAATTTTCCTCTTCGTGCACCGGTTACCAGTTGTGGTTACCAGCGACGCGCTGCTGCCTCCCCTTGAACTCGACTACTACTCCCTGCTGTAACGACCCTGTAACGAACCCGTAACGACCCCCTACTCATGCTTTGTAAATAGAGCCTTGTTGTCGAAGCCTTTTCTTATTTCAAGAGAGGGAAACCAGGGGCTGCTGCTGCCATTGTTGCTGCTGCTGCAGCAGCTGCTGCAGCCGCTGCTGCCATGGTCACTGCTGCCACTGCTGCCACGGCTACCGCTGCCGCTGCTGCTCCAGCTCCGGCCACTGCCCCCACCCCTGCTGCCACCGCCGCCGCCGCTTCTGCCGCTGCCGTTGTGTGGGGTTTGGGCATCGGCAAGGAAGAGCTTTGGAGAGTATCGAGGCAGGCGCTTCTTGTAGCACCAAGGGCTGTCAGAAAGACTGTCTGGAAGACTCTCCGGAACGCATGTAGAAGGATAGGGAAACAGGTCTCCCTGCTACCGTGCATGGGGCTTATAGCATGGTCCTGTACAGTATCTCTCCTCCGTGCTCATGGCAGCCTGCTTCATGCACTAGCTGCTCGCTAGTACGGTAGATAAAGTGTGCTAATGGGATGGTATGCCTGGAGAAGGCATACTGTTTGGTGGCATTAAAGCCTGTGCTGCTGTATTGGCAGCTGGGATGGTTGGGGTTCTGGATAATATGTCATAGGCACCGGTGGTAGGTGTACCTCCCTGGGTGGTAGTGGTGGATGGGGGCTATTGACAAGGGGATATGAAATTGGGGTAATTACCCCGTTTTATTTGTACAGTTGGTAGTATGTAATTGGGGCCGCACTTGTAGTTTCTTTTCCCACATTTCCCTATCACCTTTTCCTTCACTCAAACTATAATTTGGCATGTGGAAGAATCCAAATGATTTTAGCCTAATCTATTCTTACTGGTAGAAAATCATTGGTAGTATGTGTGATAGCTGAAGTGCACAAATACTAGTTCTCTTGAAGGTACTGTAAAAGTGACCTGTAAAAGTGACAGTACACCATACTGTACAGCTGCTCACCGGCTAATCATGTTGCCCCCTAGCTGCCATATGGCCTAAAAAGACATGTCTTCCAAAGGTATGAGATGAGCCATGGCATGGCATGTCATGTCATGTCATGGCACAGTAGTGGCCAGGCCTGGGTACAATATGCAGCACTTTATCCATACACTCACGCTCAGGCTCTCAGGCTCTCGCCGCTACATCACAGGCGCCCAGATCAGAAAACTCTACACCATTGCATATATTTGTACCATTGCACACCGGCGGCCGGCCCACCATACATCCAACCCTCGGCACCATCAAAGCACCTCGCTCCTATTGCTGCTGCTGCTTCTGCTGCTCTTGTTATCCGTGAGTGCTGCGACCACTATCATTTCCACCAGACACCACTGGCACCACCTCCATCAACACCAGCACCAACACCAGCACCAGCACCAGCACCAGCACCAGCACCAGCACCAGCACCACAGCCAGCAACAGCACCAGCACCAGCACCATAGCCATCGGCACTTGCTTTTGAGCCGACCCAGGAGCCATGACTGAAAGCGCATCAGGTGTCTGGAGTAGCCTCACTCACGGGCTTTAAGAGTGCTGCATTGACCACCACTACCATCCCCTAGAGCAGCACTGGCAGCAGCACCACCAGCACCACTGGCAGCAGCACCAGCTCCAGCATTGCAGAACCGAGAACAGGTGTATTAACACATCACAGGTGTCCGGAGTAACCCCGGTCGTGGACTCTCTGGGTGCTCGTATAACCAACACTACCATTCCCTAGAGCACCACTGGCACCACCGCCACAGCCAACACCAGATGCACCAGCACCACCAGCACCACCCCGCGAGAAGATATTTTTCAGCAATTGTCGGCCGCGCCGATGTGGCGTTGTGGACCTCCTATCACTGCCCTCCACGTCATCAAGGCCTGAAGCACCCACGGATTGCAGGGAGGAGGCAACGATGGGGACGTGCCCTTTGGGAGTGGTGGGTTCCTGTGGGAGTAGGATGGGAGACGAGAAGAAAGGAATTACACGAGTATGATGGGGAAGTGCCCTTTGGGAGTGGGGACTGGTCAGAAGCTTGTGAACTGCTGTGGTAGGGTCGCCTCAGGGAGGAGGCAATGATGGGGAAGTGCCCTTTGGGAGTGGTGGGCTCCTATGGGAATAGAGTGGGAGGAGAGAGGAAGGGAAGTACATGCGTATGAGGGTGTGGACTGTTTTATGAAGGATTACAGATTGGTTTTGAGGGGTACTGGAGTGGCTCTGAGGGTTGGTAGACTGCTACTAAGGGTTGCTGAGAACGGAGTGGGAGGGGAGAGGGAGGGAATCACAAGAGCGTGAGGGTGTGGACTGGTCCTGAGAGGTTGTGAATCACTTCTGAGGGGTGGTACACTGCAGTAGAGGGTCGCTAATTGAGGTGCTTTTTGAGGCGCCTAAAAAAAAAGTGGGCGCCTCAATGCACGGGGACTGCCTCTAAGACGTCGCGAATCGCTTCTGAGGGGTGGAACACTGCAGTAGAGGGTCACTAATCCCCTCCACGTCGTTAACACCCTAGGCCCCTCCTGTCTGCGGGGAGCAGGCCATGAGACGGTCCTGGCCCTGGGAAATGGTTTGCTTTTGTGGAAATGGCTTTTTGAGACGACTCAAAAGTCTTTTGAGTTGTCTCAGGAGGCAATGAGACGGTCCTGGCCCTTGGCCCTAGGGAGTGGTGTACTTTTGTGGGAATGGGGTGGAAGAATAAGGGCAAGGGAAAAAAACGAGCGGAATAGAGAGGAACATCTGGGTGGGAGGAGCTTCTGGGTGAAAGGAGCTTGGGGGATCTTGGGGTCAGGTTAGGGAGGTGTAGTTTGTCCTTTGCAATGACAATTGTAGTACCTTGCTTTGTCGAGCGTGCGAGCTTCGATGGCCCATGTGTTGCGAGAGCGAGTGGGAAAGTGAGTGCATGAGCCCGTGAGACTGTGAAAGGTTGTGCGAGCGAGAGAGGTTGGAGAAATGGGGGAGGTTGTGAGAGTGAGAGAGGTTCGGTGAGTGTGAGAGGTTGTGTGAGTGCGATTGTTTTCGCGCCAGTATCTTGTCAGCGGAGTGTGGTGTTGTAGACGATGGGTTGGAGAGGGTTGATGAAGAGAAGGGGATTGCAGAGGAGGAGGAAGGGAAGGAGGAGGAGGGGAAGGAGGAGGAGGGGAAGGAGGAGGACGGGAAGGAGGAGGAGGAGGAAATGGAGGAGGAGGAGGGTGGTAGACCGGCCAAGCAGTCGAGAGATGCGCGGACAGATGGCACACCTGAAGCACAGAGAAAGGGAAGGTAGGACAAGGAACAGAAAGGCAACAACTTGAAGAACAAATGAGTACTCTGGGAGGAGGAGGAGGGTGGTGGACCGGCTAAGAAGTCGAGAGTTGCACGGACAGATGGCACACCTGAAACACAAAGATGGGAACGATAGAAGAAAGAAACAACAGCATGAAGAACAAATGAGTCCTCTGGGAGGAGGAGGAAGGTGGTAGGCCGACTAAGCAGTCGAGAGATGCACGGACAGATGGCACACCTGAATCACAGAGATGGGAAAGATACAAGAAACAACAAAACGCAGAACAAATGAGTACCCCTGGGAGAAGGAACAAGGGAAGGGGGGATAACATGATACCTGGTTAAGGTGAATACTCAACCCTTGGTACCAGGGGCTTCTGGGACTTCTGGTGGGTAAGCTCACCAGCCATGGCCTCCCTAAACAACCCTGGCCGAGGGAGGAAGAAGCAAGAGTGGCGAGAAACTAGTGGGCACTCACCAGCTGTGGCAGAGCGGGCTACTTTTGAGTCGACTCAAAAGTGACTTCTGGTGGGTTAACTCACCAGCCGTGGCCTTCCTAAACAATCCTGGCCGAGGGAGGAAGAAGCAAGAGTGTCAAAGAAACTAGTGGGCACTCACCAGCTGTGGCAGAGTTAGGAACAAGAGAGGAGGAAGATTTTGAGAATTCTCAAAAACACCCTGCGTTGCAAGAGTGTCAAAGAAACTAGTGGGCACTCACCAGCCCTGGCAGAGCGGGGGACTCTTGACTCGACTCAAAAGTGTCCTCTGGTGGGTTGATGAACCAGCCGTGGCCTTGCTAAACAACCCTGGCTGAGGACGAAGCAAGAGCGTCAAAGAAACAAATGGGCACTCACCAGCCGTGGCAGAGCGGGGGACAAGAGAGGAGGAAGCGAGGCTGTCAAGCAGACTGCATGCAACAGTGGGGAGGAAAAAACGGGTGAAGGGGGAAGAGGGAGGTGGAGAAGAGGCGTTTGGAAACTGCATACACTCTCATAGCTCGTGAAATACGCTTGTCTTACAGCAGGAAAGGGAGCGGCAAAGCAGCCAAGCAGATGAAAGGCAGGGACAAGGAGACGAGAGGGCTGCAGAGATTGTTTAGGCGCCCCAGAAAGTGTGCAACAGGCATGAAGACGAGGAGCAGGGACGAGGAAAGGGCTGCAAGGAAACACAGGCACAAGGATGGGGAGACTACAAGCACAGGCAGAGGCACAGGCACAGGCACAGGCACAGGCACAGGCACAGGCACAGGCACAAGGATGGGGAAAATACAGGCACAGGCACAGGCACAGGCACAGGCACAGGCACAAGGATGGGGGAGACGTGCATACAAGAGAATACATCTGTGCTTTGGTCCAGGTACACACCTTTCAGATGGGGGAGCGAGGGGCATTGAGGAGAGGAGTGACGAGGAGGAGAAAGCTGTGTGGGAAGAGCCTCGAGGATCTAAATTGTGTGGAATAAGGAGGGATGGGAGGGAGAGGGGGATGAGGAGGGATGGGGTGAGTGCGTAGGTTGGGAAGTATGGAGTGACGAGGAGGATAAGGCTGTGTGGGACGGGCCTCAAGGGTCTGACTTTTGAGTCGACTCAAAAGTCAACTCATTACAATGGCACACGACGTTTTTTGAGTCGACTCAAAAGTCAACTCATTACAATGGCACACGACGTTTTTTGAGTCGACTCAAAAGTCAACTCATTACAATGGCACACGACGTTTTTTGAGTCGACTCAAAAGTGAGTGCATAGGTTGGGATGTGATGTATGGAGTGACGAGGAGGATGAGGCTGTGTGGGACGAGCCTCAAGGGTCCGGAGTGGATGGGAGAGAGGGATGAGGGGGGATGGAAGGGTGAGAGGGAAGAGGAGGGATGGAAGGGTGAGAGAAAAGGAAGCGTGGGAGGGAAGAAAGTGATGGGATTGGGTGAGTGCATGGGATGGAGGGATGTATGGACTGAATAATACTTCATACGAACCTCTCGTAGGGGAAGAAGAATAGCCCGGCCCATACTGGAAGCACTCCCGTTCCATACATGCTATCTGCACCTTGACAATGGTGCACCTAACTCAATCTTTCGCACAGAATGGGACTCACCTCTTGTAGGGGAAGAAGAATAGCCCGATCCATACTGGAAGCACTCCCGTTCCATACATGCTGCTGCTGCAGCCACTGATGCTGGTGGCGCTGTTGCTGCTGCTAGTGCTGGTGTTGAGGTCGCCGGTGCTGCCTCAGCTATGGAGGGAAAGGCATTGCAAAGAAAAAAAGGAAGGAAAGGGAAAGAGCAGAGTGAGATACTGAAGCATTGTGGAGGGAAAGGGAGAAAAGTGAGGGTGTAATTGACGTCACATACCCCCGCCATTCACGACTTCTGCGCACTCACTCGACTGGCAACACACTGAATGGTTCACCTGGCTGGCAGCACACTGAATGGTTCACCTGGACGCACACCCATTCACCCACCAGGCAGCACACTATTGGTTCACCTGGCAGCAAAAAGTTCACCTGGCAGCACATTGATTCATTCACCTGGCAGTTGGTAGCTCTTGGGCATGCGGCTGGTTGGCCTGGGCTGCTGCTGTCGGTTCAGTGCGTTGCGACCCGAATACTCCCAACACGCGCGCACACGCTGCATGCAATGAAAAGAGAGAGTAGCACAGAATAGGCATGACATGAGACACGTGGAGAAGAAGATGAGGTTGCTGCTGTCGGTTCAGTGCGTTGCGACCTGAGTACTCCCAATACGCACGCACATGCTGTAGAATAGAGGAGGGGAACCACAGCACAGAACAGGCACAGCAGCAAGCACATGGCAAATTCAAGAGAATGCTTTCAGTGAGCTGCGACCCGAGTACTCCCAGCATGCGCGCACAGGCTGTAGAATACAGGAGGGGGAGCACACGCGCGCACGCACGCACGCATGCACACACACCCATACACACAGAGAAACACATGCATCACTGAAGCTAAGGACGATGCAAGATAGCAGTGGGAGAAGCGACGCCCCCGGGCCCCCTTCTGCCCCCCCAACACTCGCACGCGCACGCGCGCGCGCACACACACGCACACACGTGCACACACACGCACACACACGCACACACACACACACACGCACACACGCGCGCACACACACACACACACACACACACACACACACGCGCGCGCGCACACGCACACACGCACGCACACGCGAACGCGCGCGTGCACATGCACACACACACAGCGCACCTCAGCCGCTGACGCGACTCTGACGTCAGCAGCAGCCATCTCTTTGGCCTGCAGGGAGACTGCGTCGGTGAAGCGATCGGCAGCAGCGCCAATGCGATCCACCACGGATACCAGCATGCTCACTCACACACATGCTCACTCGCACACATGCAACCATGCACATACTCACTCACACAAGTACCCTGCACACGAGTACCCACGTATCTCAGCCAGAGTCCGCACACATACACGCACCCCCTCACACACACACACACACACACACACACACACACACACATGCTCGTGTGGAAGCTAACCTCAGCAGCTGACGCGACTCTGACGTCAGCAGCAGCCATCTCCTTGGCCTGCAGCGAGACGGCGTCGGTGAAGCGATCGGCAGCAGCGCCAATGCGGTCCACCACGGATACCAGCATGCTCACTGCGTAATCCCGCACGTTGTGGATCTCTCTGTATTGAGGGTAAGGAAAAAGGGAGAGAGTGAGGGGTACAGTACAAGCAAGCAGCAGGGCCGATGTGGTCCACCACGGACACCAGCATGCTCACTGCATAGTCCCTAACGTTGTGCAGCTCTCTGTGTGGGGAGTTGGATAGCAAGGCACACACACACAAGATTGAGTAGCAGCAGCGCCAATGCGGTCCACCACGGATACCAGCATGCTCACTGCATAATCCCGCACGTTGTGCATCTCTCTGGATGGGATAATAAGAGGAAAGTTAAAGAGAGGGGAGATAGCGGGGAAATAAGCATGTGAGATTGAGTAGCAGAAAGCCAATGCGGTTCACCACGGACACCAGCATGTTCACTGAGTAGTCGCGCACGTTGTGCAGCTCTCTGGGTGGGAAAAATTAGAGGACAGGTAAAGGGAGGGGAGGTAGCAAGGCACACACACACACAAGATTGAGTAGCAGCAAGCCAATGCGACCCAACACGGACACCAGCACGCTCACCGCGTTATCCCGCACGTTGTGCAGCTCTCTGTGGGAGGAGGAACCAAAACATCACGGGAAAAAGGCTGGATGGCTGGATAGCAAGATGGGTTGATGGCTGAATGGCTGGATGGATAGATGGATAGATGGATAGATGGCTGGATGGATAGATGGATAGATGGCTGGATGGTTAGATGGATAGATGGCTGGATGGTTAGATGGATAGATGGCTGGATGGTTAGATGGATAGATGGCTGGATGGCTAGATGGATAGATGGCTGGATGGTTAGATGGATAGATGGCTGGATGGTTAGATGGATAGATGGCTGGATGGTTAGATGGATGGATTGCTGGATGGTTAGATGGATAGATGGCTGGATGGCTAGATGGATAGATGGCTGGATGGTTAGATGGATAGATGGCTGGATGGCTAGATGGATAGATGGCTGGATGGTTAGATGGATAGACGGCTGGATGGTTAGATGGATAGATGGCTGGATGGTTAGATGGATAGATGACTGGATGGTTAGATGGATAGATGGCTGGATGGCTAGATGGATAGATGGCTGGATGGTTAGATGGATAGATGGCTGGATGGTTAGATGGATAGATGGCTGGATGGTTAGATGGATAGATGGCTGAATGGCTGGATGGGTGAATGACTGGCTGGGTGAATTGCTCAAAAATTACGGAGAGAAGCTACAAGAACGAGCCTTTTTTTTTTTTTTTTTTTTTTTTTTTTTTAATGCTTACATGTCCTTTTGGTCTGTGACAAGATAGGCCTCCTCTGCATACGTGGCAGCATCCAGTAGGGTGGGCTGCAAGTCACGCAGCTCCTGCATTCACAGTCGTAGAATTCAGCATAAGGTTTAGCATAAAAATGCAACATCACTTGGTGCATTTGGAGCTTAAGCTCTGCAGAATTCCGTGCCTATAAGCTCCCCTGTCTACGCGTGCTTAGGCTTCTTGCTAACTCATCTGAACGTTAATTACCTCCAAGGTATTGACTGTGTAATTGTCAGGCACTGAAATGTATGTGTCGCGTCCGCAAACTATCTAATGCTATCTGTGGTTTGTATCGATCTTAGATTTAGGTCACGAACCTGAATGCTTCGTTGCAACATCTTGTCAAGCGGATCCGTACTCGCCGCTTTTGCCATTCCTGCTACACGAAAGTATCGAGCCCTCGAGCACGCAGTCACAGAAAACCGTCCAAGGGACAACCAATGAAAAACTTGAGAACTGAGAAGCTTTCGACTGTAAGATAGAGCTGCTTCCGTTCGACAGCCGATTACAGGGGACTGCGCGATTAATGATATTCAACTACTTCATATCGCACTACACCGCCAAGACAAACTCCCAAGAAGCTTAGGTTAGGACCCTATTGCACAAACGGACCCAAAAAATTAGTCTGTGTCGTCCCTAATAGGATACGGAAACACTTCGCCAGTGAATTGGGTCGCAGTACCCAGAAAGAGAGGTTAGCTCGAGCCTGGGTGGAAAACACAAGCCGGTTCGCCTGAACCCAACTTGCAAATAATGTTTGAGAAAGGTGAGGCATGGTATGGTGCGTGGTTTATTGCGGCATCTTCGACCAGATTGACTCGCACGCCGTCGGGAGGCGGAGCGCGTCCCTGGGAGTTCCTAGAATGTGTGCCGAGAAACGGCTGACTGACAAAGCCAGACACAGCCTCGGTTCCTGGTTCAGGCTAGTCAGACGGCTTTTGAGGTGAACCGTGCCGTGACAGGGAAAGGCTCGGGAGTGAGGCTCGGCCTGGTTTTGAAGATGAGTAGACGAGGCGCTTCATCTGAGCAGGTGGGCTTGGTAAATTTCCCTCTTTAAAAAATGGCGCGACTTGCTAGAGCAACCGTGTATTCTACACTTCACCACAAACCATAACATCCGCTATCGAAATTGAAAACATTCCACAAAATTTACACCCAAAGGAATAGCCTGCCATAAGAAAGCATGATTTCACAAAGCTGATGGTGACATGGGAGGGGTCTTTCTGAAACGCAAATATACATCCAAAAATCGCATAAATAAATGTTCATCATGCATCCATCACGCGTCAACCATTGAGAGACAATCACTTGTTGAGAGTGGTGGAGTACATGAGCTCTCCAAATACGCCATAAAACTTAACGGTCAGGGAGTTCCGAGAGACCTCCAAGGAACTGAAACCCTGCCCAGGAAAGAAGAACCGCAGGCCTGGGGCAACAGGGGGAGCATCGCCTCGCCATGCCTTGGACCCCCCACCCACCGTGAAATAGTGAACGGGGCTGAAGCACGGGAGACATAAGGAGACAGAGAGGCAAACGAGGGTAGGAGAAATTCGAGTTCTTGCCTCAGGGCCACGGAGATAATGATTAGGGAAAGCAACAAAACATTGAAGTGCCGAAAGGGGGCACACTAAAAGTGCGCAAGCATGAGGGAAGACGAAGGTCCAGACAAGTGATCTTAGCCCATGCTGCGGATGAGGGGTCAAGATGGAGTCTGATTTTGAGTCGACTCAAACACAAGCAAGGGGGTTCACAGATGGACGACGGAGGTCCAGACAAGTGATCTTAGCCCATGCTGCGGATGAACGGTCAGGATTGGGTGAAGGACTCACCTCTCATCCTTTTTGATGTGCTGCATGTTGTGATCGTGACCGTTGATGTAAACATCTACACCGTACTTCTGATAGTGTCACAAAGAAAATGGAACAACGCAGAGAAAGTCTGGACGGCAATCGTTAGATAATACTTGTGGATACTCATGTGCCGCATCTGTGCCCACATAAGTAACAACCATGGTCTCACAATTACGTGCACAGAAACCTAATTAGATTTCACCTCCAGAAGGGGATCGATCCTACCTCAAGCAGGAATGGGTCCCTAAACCCGAAGCCCTAGAGCCTGAACCCTGTCCCTATCGTACCTCCAGCAAGGGTTTGATCCTCTCAACCATCTCGGGCTGATCGCCGTGCTTGCCATAGCTGAACACTGGATGGTGCGCCCCCACCACCTTCCACCACCCATAAACCCTAAGCTCTATAACATGAAAACTGTCCCTATCGTACCTCCAGCAACGGCTTGATCCTCTCAACCATCTCGGGCTGATCGCCGTGCTTGCCATAGCTGAACACTGGATGGTGCGCCCCCACCACCTTCCACCACCCCTAAACCCTAAGCTCTATAACATGAAAACTGTCCCTATCGTACCTCCAGCAACGGCTTGATCCTCTCAACCATCTCGGGCTGATCGCCGTGCTTGCCATAGCTGAACACTGGATGGTGCGCCCTCACCACCTTCCACCACCCCTAAACCCTAAGCTCTATAACATGAAAACTGTCCCTATCGTACCTACAAACTGCTTCACCTCGTAGTTGCATGTGATGTCGACGCGCCCCGCCAAAGCCTTCTCGAACTGTTCGAGCAGCTCGTTGTTTGAGCCTGTGTAGAGCAGGTCGTCGACGTAAACCGTGAGAAGAATGTATTCGCCGCGAAAGTCGCGGCGGTACATCTCTGGATCGTGGGGCATTTGCTTGAATCCGATTTCAAGCAGGATGTTGTGCAAGTACTGCTGCCACAGCCTCGGCGCCTGCTTGATCCCGTAGAGCGACTTGCGCAGTTGACACACGCGCGAGTCCCCTTCGCCGTATGTGTGCGGCTGCTCCACGTAGATCACGGCGTCCACTAACGCGTACAGGAACGCGTTCTTCACGTCGATCTGGCGGAGTGGCAGCGCGTGGCAGAGCAGGATGACGCACGCTCGATCACGCTTGAACATGGCTGACGGCTTGCCATGCTCGATTTCCTCCAATGATTGCTCAGCATGGTGCGCCTGCCAAGTGAGACGACACAGCGAGTCAGGGATGCTGGGAAACGAAAATCGCGACCTAAAAAAATAACCGAAGAAAAAAGCAAGCTCAAAAGCTTACCTTGAGATGCTTACGGAAGAAGCAAATGACGAGCCTAACGGAAAGCGAAGTCGCGAAGGTTCACGTCGAAGAGCGAGAATTGGCGGACGAATTGGAATGGTTGTGTGCTCGCCTGCGCGTTGCGAGAGACACGATGATTAGTCACTTCACAGCGAATCGCGAAGCTGAGTAATCAGTAAACGAACTACCCGATTCGATGCTAAATTTACCAGAATTGAGACTTCGACGCGAAACAGCGGAGGTCGACGGCGAACAACGAAATTCGACGTCGAAGGTCAAGCTTCCTCGTGAAATCCCACAATTCGTCGCTCAACAGTGAAAGGTGTCAAACTGTATATGTTATATACTTGTGTAGGCTGTAGTGGGGTAGCCCATGAAGGGTACAACCCAATGTTAGGGTTAGCATATGTACCCAACTCTGTTTCAATCCAACTCATTCCTGTCTCTAGTTTCTAACATGGTTTCAGAGCAGTAGGTCCGTAGGACCGTTTTTTTTTTTTTCGGGCCCACCTACCGCTACCCCACGAATGAGCCTGTGACTGTGCCTGTGACTGTCACGCCTCCTGCTTACGGTTGTCCCGCGCGTGTTGCCGTTCCAGCCCGCGCGCACCTTCCTACACGCGAGTCGCTCTGCGCAGTTCGCTGCAGCCGCGCGTAGCCCGCCCCGAGCCCGCACAGCCCGCGCCGAGCCCGTGCAGCCTGCGCCGAGCCCGCGCAGCCCGCGCCGAGCCGCGCGCAGCCCGCTGCAGCCGCGCGCAGCCCGCAGCTGCCGCCGCGCACAGCCCGAGCCGAGCCAGCGCAGCCCGCGCCGAGCCGCGCGCAGCCCGCTGCAGCCGCGCGCAGCCCGCACCGAGCCGCGCGCAGCCCGCTGCTGCCGCGCGCAGCCCGCTGCCGCGCGCAGCCCGCTCCAAGCCGCGCTCAGCCCGCTGGTGCCGCGCGCAGCCCGCGCCAAGCCAGCGCAGCCCGCGCCGCGCCGCGTGCAGCCTGCTGCTGCCTCGCGCGGCCCGCGTGCGGCCCGTAGCAGCCCAGTGCGCTGCCCCGCGCAGCCCGCGCTGAGCCCACGCGGCCCGCACAGCCCGCACCGAGCCACGCGCAGCCCGCTGCTGCCTCCCGCAGCCCGCCCCGAGCCCGCGCAGCCCGCGCACGGCCTGCTGCTGCCCCGCGCACCGCTCGCGCAGACCAGCCTGGCTCAGAAGCGGCCCCGACCTGCCACGTTTTCCCCTGCGCTTGGCTCGAGTCTATACACCCTGACCACTGAGTCCCCTCAGGTAGCTGCGTCTGCGTCTGCGTCAGGTCAGCTGGCGGCCCCCTGCGAGTGTCGCGCTTTGTCGCACCAGACCCTCCTGTGGCACCACCGCCTTGGTCACCCCTCGGTGCAGCGCCTTCGTGGCATGCACTCTCGCTTCCTGGTTTCTGGTCTTCCCAGGTCTTTGCCTGCCCTGCCTCCCTCGCTTGCGCCGCCCTGCATTCCTTGCGTCGAGGGGCGGCAGCGCGCCGCTCCTCACTCCTCCTCGTTCCCTCCCACAGAGGCTCCCCTGCAGACTCTCCACCTGGACGTGTGGGGCCCAGCCCGCGTCCGTGGACAGGGCCACGAGCGGTACTTCCTGCTGGTTGTCGACGACTACACGCGTTACACCACGGTCTTCCCCTTGCGCAGCAAGGGGGAGGTCCCTGCTGTTTTGATCCCTTGGATCCGCGCTGCCCGTCTCCAGCTCCGCGTGAGGTTTGGGACGGAGTTTCCCGTCCTGCGTCTGCACTCTGACAGAGGTGGTGAGTTCTCCTCAGACCTCTTGGCAGCCTTCTGTGCGGAGCACGGCATCCGTCAGACGTTCACGCTTCCGGCCTCTCCGCAGCAGAATGGGGTTGCTGAGCGCCGCATTGGCTTAGTCATGGAGGTCGCTCGTACCTCCATGATCCATGCGGCTGCCCCCCATGTTTTATGGCCGTTTGCGGTCCGGTACGCCGCGCATCAGCTCAATCTCTGGCCCCGTGTCTCCTTGCCAGAGACCTCGCCCACGCTGCTGTGGACGGGGAAGGTTGGCGATGCGTCGCGTTTCCGGGTCTGGGGTGCTCGTGCCTTTGTCCGCGATACCACCGCGGACAAGCTCTCCGCCCGCGCTGTTCCCTGTGTCTTCCTTGGCTTTGTCCCTGACGCGCTTGGTTGGCAGTTTTACCACCCCACCTCGCGCCGTGTCTTTGCGTCTCAGGACGTCACGTTCGATGAGTCGGTTCCCTTTTACCATCTCTTCCCCTACCGCACTGCCCCTCTCCCTCCCCCGCCGCTCTTCCTCGCTCCAGGTGCTGAGGTCCCAGACCCCCTCCCCGCTCCCGGTCCTGCTCCTTCAGGTGTGTCTCAGGTAGACCCTCCTCCCTTACCTGCGCCGGTCGAGGTCACTGGTGACTCAGGTCCTGCTGGGGGTGGTCCTGCTCGGGGTGCTACTTCTGTGGGTGCTGAGCCTGGGGGTGCGGCGCCTGGGGGTACTGAGCTTGGAGGTACTGAGCCTGGGGGTGCGGAGCTTGGGGGTGCTGAGCCTGGGGGTGCTGAGCTTGCGTGTGAGGGGTCTGGAGGTGCTGGGTCTGGCAGTTCTGAGTCTGGGGTTGCTGCGCCTGCGGGCGCTGGTGGTTCTGGAGCTGCTGGAGGTCCTGGTGCTGGTGGCGCTGGAGCTGGTGGTTCTGGGGCTGCTGAGGGTGCTGGCGCTGAGGGTTCTGAGTCTGCTGTTGCGCGGTCTCCTTGGAGTAGCCGCCTTCGTCCGCGTGTGCCTCTCACCTCACAGCAGCTGCACGACTGGTACGGTCGCCGTCAGGGTCGCGCTTCTGGAGCTAGGGGCTCTGCTCCTGGAGGTCCTTCTGCTGCTGTCACTAGAGCTGGGAGTGGTGCTGGTCCCGGCGGTGCTCGTACTGGGGGTACTGGAGCTGCTGGGGCTGGAGGTGCTGAGCCTGCGGGTGCTGCTGCTCGAGGCACTGCGGTTGGAGACCCTGGGACTGGGGGTGCCGGTTCTGGGGGTGCTGCTGCTGGTGGAGCTGGTCCTGGAGGAGCTGGTGCTGAGGTTTCTGGAGCTTCTGGAGGTGCTGGAGCTGCTGGGGGTGCTGGAGCTGCTGGTGCTGGTGGCACTGCCCAGCCGCGCCTGTTCTTTGCTCCACCGTCTCCGTCGTCTCAGCCACCGCCTGACTCTGTGCTTAGTCTCCCTTCGTCTACTGGTCTTCCGTTACAGCCTGGCTCACCGCTGCCTACTCCTTCTCCTTACACTGAGCAGGCAGGGGGTCTTGCTGAGCGTCGTGAGCCTGCGTCGCGTCCTGTCTCGCCTGTTCGTCCTCGTCGTACCGGTCGTCGTGTTCCTCGTCCGCGTCAGCCGGCTGTCCCCGGCACACGCCTTGTCGCCCTGCGTCGGTCGCCTACTCCGGAGCGCACTCCTCTTCCGTCTCCCCCTGCGTCCTCTTTGCCTGACGTCGCGGACCCTGAGTCTGACCGGTTTCGTGCTGAGCACCCCACTGTCACGCGTCTGCTAGCCACTGTTGTCACTGACCCGTCGTTTGAGTCTGCTGTTGCGTCTGCCCTGGTCGCTGAGCTTGTTGACTTTGCTGCTGCCTGTCGTCTAGACTACGCTGCTAGTCTTGTCGCTGAGTCTGAGTCTGTCTGTCCTCCGTCCGTCGAGGGTGAGTGTGCTCTTGGCACGGACGTCCTTGAGGACAGGCACGAGGACCTTGAGTGTCTTGCAGCCGCTGCGCCTCATCTCGTAGCCATGCTGCTTGCCCCTGAGGGAGACCCGGATGCTGTAGACATCCCGACCCCGCGCTCTTACGCTGAGGCGATCGCGGGTGAGTACTCCTCCCAGTGGCAGACAGCCATGGACACAGAGATGGCATCTTGGAAGTCCACAGGCACTTACGTCGACGAGGTTCCCCCTCCTGGGGCGAACATCGTTGATGGCATGTGGATTTTCAGGGTGAAGCGGCCGCCGGGTTCTCCGCCTGTCTTCAAGGCTCGTTACGTTGCTCGAGGCTTCAGTCAGCAAGAGGGAGTCGACTTCTTCCAGACCTTCTCCCCCACCTCGAAGATGACCACTCTTCGGGTGCTGCTACACGTTGCCGCTCAGCGTGACTACGAGCTTCACTCGCTGGACTTCAGCACAGCCTTCTTACAGGGCAGCCTGCACGAGGAGATCTGGCTGCGCCGCCCACCTGGCTTCACTGGGTCGTTCCCTCCTGGTACCCAGTGGAGCCTCCGGCGGCCAGTCTACAGTCTCCGCCAGGCACCTCGGGAGTGGCACGACACACTGAGGACTACACTTGCGGCTCTTGGGTTTGCTCCTTCGACTGCTGACCCGTCACTGTTCCTGCGCACCGACACTTCGCTGCCGCCGTTCTACATCCTTGTGTACGTCGACGACTTGGTCTTTGCCACTACTGACACTGAGGCTCTCGCCCTGGTGAAGTCGGAGCTGCAGAAGAGACACACGTGCACAGACCTGGGTGAGCTGCGCAGTTACCTTGGCTTGCAGATCACCCGGGACAGAGCACAGCGCACCATCACTCTGACTCAGTCACACATGGTGCAGCAGGTCCTTCAGCGCTTCGGCTTCACCTGGTCCTCGCCACAGTCTACTCCTCTAGCTACGTGTCACTCGCTCTCAACTCCACCTTCGGACGAGTCCGTAGAGCCGAGTGGTCCTTACCCAGAGTTAGTGGGCTGCCTCATGTACCTGATGACCTGCACTCGTCCTGACCTCGCGTACCCTCTTGGCCTTCTGGCACGCTACGTGGCTCCTGGTCGACACCGAAAGGTGCACTGGGATGCTGCGAAGAGGGTACTGCGTTACTTGTGCAGTACATCAGGCATGGGGCTCGTGCTTGGAGGGCAGAGAGACGTGGTCCTCACTGGGCACTCAGACACTTCTTGGGTTGACGACCAGGCTACGCAGCGGTCGTCACAGGGTTACACTTTCAGCCTTGGCTCTGGTTCTGTTTCTTGGCGTTCTACTCGCTCGTCTTCAGTTCTCAGCTCTAGTTGTGAGGCTGAGATCTACGCCACCGCCATGGCTGCTCAGGAGTTACGCTGGCTCACCTACTTGCTGACCGACCTGGGAGAGCGGCCTCGTTCTCCTTCAGTGCTGTACGTCGACAACAAGGCTGCCATTGCCTTGTGTGAGGAGCACAGACTGGAGCACAGAACGAAGCACATCGCTCTGCGGTACTTTCTGGCTCGAGAGCTGCAGCAGCGTGGTCAGCTTTGTCTTGCACACGTGGCCACTCGGGCCAACACTGCTGATATATTGACCAAGGCACTTCCGTCTGGTGATCATCAGTGCTTTTGTACTTTGTTAGGCCTTGTGCCTACGTTTCCACACTTGCTGTAGTCTTTTGTGTGTACTGTGCTCTATATTTATACCTGCATGCTTGCTCTTGCTAGGTATTGATCACTGTACTGCTCTTGTTGCTTATATATATCTCTGCATGTGGACTGGCCTTGCGGCCCTTTGCTTGTGCTCAGAATGTGTGGTGACGTTGAGATCCACCCTGAGCTTGTTTTGCGTCTCTTGACTGGTCGTGTGACCCCTTGTTCTCCCCCACTTTGCCTATGGGGGTGTGTCAAACTGTATATGTTATATACTTGTGTAGGCTGTAGTGGGGTAGCCCATAAAGGGTACAACCCAATGTTAGGGTTAGCATATGTACCCAACTCTGTTTCAATTCAAGTCATTCCTGTCTCTAGTTTCTAACAGAAGGTCACGTCCAATAGCGAAAATCGATGCCGATAACCGAAATTTCCTCGCGAAATTCCAAGACTCAACGCTGAACGGCGAAGAGCGGCGTTAAATAGCCAACTCTGGCAACTAACAGCGAAATCTGGTCTATTGCCAAGATCGCCGTGAAAACTCGACTGAACTCTCTGGAAAGCGACGAGGACGACGCCTTGATGGCACGGAAAATTGCGAACTGGGAAGCTAGAGTGAGGGAATGGCTGCAAAGCGCGAAGAAGGCAAACTGGAGTGAGGAAAAACGAGTTGAAATGGTTGCTAGACGAAATGGCTGCTGGAGTGAGGTCCTCCCCTCGCCACAAACCAAACCAGCCCCAAGGCTACCGACATTTGCGTCCAGTCGAAAGTCTACAAGAAATCGCAGCCGTTCATCAAAACGAACTTGAACCGCGAAAAAAACGCAAACGGCTAAGCGGAAATTCTATGGATTGGTTGACGTTAGTCATGTCAGGAATACTCGAATTCCAACCGTGAAATCTTAGGTCAAAAGTCTGACGATTGGTGGGTATTCGTGTCGGCCGGTTGACAATTTCTAACATGGACACGTAGCGTTGTTGGCTCGGCGGGAAGCAGGGCAAAAGCGGGCGATTAATGGCCAACGAAATGAGTCTCAGGCAACAACGGCGGCGGCAGCCATGGTTAGGGAGGAAAAGCGGGAGCAAGATCTGATGGGAGCAGATTGAAATTGGAGTCTCCCTCTCGCACCCTCTGACACTTGCAACGGCTACCAGAGCCTCGTCCCGCTAATTGGCTCTCGTTTCGTACACCGACAATAAGGTGAGCTGTAACTGGTCGTGCGTTTCGCTGGTGACACTGCGAAAAAACTTTAATCTTTGCGAAGCGGATATTTGGGCTGATGTTATCTCATGTGGTAGGCTTCGGGCTGCGCATATTTGGGGGTTCCGGGGAAGCCTCCGCCAAATCGTGCCGACATTCCTGACAACTGTCGCGTGGCTCTGAAATTACCGACTTGTGTGACCTCTGTAAGCTACACCGGCTTTAACTGTATCACTACAATATATTTTGCTATACAATGATCAGGTTACTAACACTGAACAGACATGCCATACCAACTTAACAAAAACCAGGATTTTCATGGGTGAAAAGGCATGAAGAAGGCAAGGTAAATGTTTGCGGGAGTTATATTGGAAGTTGTTTGACATGTTAAGCCATGTTTACACAATTCCACATAAATTTACTGCAAACCTCCATACAGCGCCAAAAGTGAGTGCACTGCACAGGAACTTTTTGTCCGCACCTCACCACAATCACACATCAAACTCCTTCCTTGCCAAGCTCAGTGCCAGATACCCCCACCACCCAAGGCAACATCCCCTGGAGTGAGCTTGGACTTTAGCGGGTCAGGCAGTTGCGGTGTTGGGGCGTAGAACTTGCCGATGGTAGCCTGGAGAGATAGCACAGGAGGGACGAAGGTTAAACATGAAGAGAAAAGGCAGTGTTGTCCTGACAAGGGCAAGCAATGGATATGCTGCACGGAGAAAACCCCCTGAGGCCTACCATTCTGTAAACAATTCTTCGAAACAATCACCAGCTGACAAGCATCCAATACACCCAAGGAAAAAGAAGAAAAGGAGAAAAAAGTGGCACCTGCGGCAGCATTTCGTGCACGATGGTGAGCATCCAGTCGCCATTGGTGGAGACGATTGCAGCAGTGGGCGGGCGAATGGCTGCCTTGAGTGATGCCAGGGACGGATGGTCCAGGAACGCCGGCTCCATCACCATCCACACATCACGCGCGCGACCACCCCAACGGGAGCAGAAAGTGGGTTGCAGGTGGGAAACTGGAATGGTGTGTGTGAGTGTTCAGCGGGGGGGGGGGGTGGGGCAGCGAACATGAACATGTGCTGACAGCGCTACTTCTCCCAAACATCAACACGAATTTGTTTTCGCGCTACCAAAGGGCGTTTCTAGGGTTGAACGCAGTGCGAGTACCACTAGGAAGGTTGAACGGGAAGGGCTGAGAGGTGTACCTTTGACTTCTCCTGATGCCGTCTGCTAGCACCTCCTCTAGCAACGCACCCTTGTCCCTGGCGCCATGTGGGGCAAGAAAGAGAGAGGGAAGGAGGGATGGAGTAAGAGAGAAAGGGAGACGGAGAGAGAGAGGAGGGATGGAGAGAGGGAGAGAGGGAGTTGGAGAGAGAGAAAAAAGGTGCTGAATGAGAATGGGTTCATGCAGCACAGAGGCTATAACTGAGGGTGACAGGTCGTGTGATAAAAGCAAGCCAGAGCAATCAATGAGCGAAAATGGCCATAGTTTCGGAGGAAAGGGGAAGGCATTACATGAGGCTGTAAGCATTGGCGAGGGCGAAATAATACACCTGCGAGCCAGCCATGCACGGGATTTGAAGAGGAGTGAGAAGCGATTATAAGGGCGTATTCCTAGCTTCGGGTCATCCGGTGTTTGTGTCATCCGAAAATTGAGGTAGCCAATCGGAAAACCCGCGGTTCGGAATTTGAAATTCTCTATTGGATACCGCAAATTTCGGATGACATGAAGCCGGGATGACCCGAAGCCAGGAATACGCCCTAAAACAAGAAAAACAGCAGAATTATGGAATCTGGCAGTTAACACACACCAGGGCAGGGAAGTGCAGGGGAACCAAGAGGAGCCCAGGGAAGCCCAGGGAAACCCACACACCTATGATTAGATTCAGACTACGGAATCCAGAGCACGAAATATAGAGCACGAAAAGCACCCGCCACTCACTCGTGGTTTAGACAGATCCAGCATGGGAGGAGCAGGGCAGGCCACTTCTCTCCAGTCCAGCCCCCCAAACGCGCCGCTGTCTTGCTTCTTATCGTCCTTCTTGGATGCGCTGCTCCCTTTCGCCCCGCTTGCGCTTTCCCCAGTCCCCTGTCCCCCTCCGAATCCCTTGCCCCCTGTCCCCGTTGCGCAACACACCCCTCTCCGCCTGCTCCGCCCTTCCCCCCAACTCCGCCCCGCAGAGCTCTCCGCGCTCCCTTGTCTTCCGCGGTTCCCCCAGTCGTCCCCCGAGCTAATGTCGCGGCGGAGAGTAAGAGTAATGTCGTCCCATTTTCTGCCTAGACATCCGCCTGACGCATTCGAAGCGCGCGACTGGAAGAATCGGGAAGGCGGAAATGGCGGTGACGCGGCGTGAGAAGCGGTGAGATGCGGTGAGGCCAGAAGCCGGGGCATGATGGAACGAAAACTGTGGTATTCCAACGAACGGCAAAAGAGTGTGAACTGGGAGGAAGATAGAAATGTGAAGAGAGGGGGAGGTGCTCGAAGCGAGGACGCCACGCGAAAGCTTGAGGCAATCAGGCGCGCCGCGCGTGAGTGAATAATAACGCTGGTAGAGAAAGAATGGAAGCGAGAAAGGAAGTGTGCACGGCGATTTGACCCGTGACGGTGATGTGTGATAACGACGAGCGAAGGTGGAGGTGGGGAAATGACCAGTCAAATCAGGTTTGACCCGAACTGAATCAATTTTTCGTGAAATGAAATGGAAGACCGCCACGTGGCACCTCCCCTGGTTTCCCCACCCCCAGCCACCTTACCTCGACCTTCCCCACATTCACCTGGCAGCAGTAGGAGCAGCAGACGGCCCAGTGCCTCAGGAAACTCAGCTACCCAGAAACCACCCATCCAACCCACATACTCAACTACCTACCCACCCAGCCACTGCCCGCCCACCCACCTGCTCACCCACCAACCCCCAACGTGTTTTGCTCAAGCGCACCCACCTTCTCTTTGAGAACCGAGCCTCGCTTGGTGGGGATGCGCCGGCCAATGATAGAGAAGAGTGTTCCTTCACGTGATAAAAGGTTGGGTTCGAGACGCCTCAACACCCATCTTCTCTTTGAGAACCGAGCCTCGTTTGTTTGGAATGCGCCGACCAATGATAGAGAAGAGCGTTCCCTCCTGCACCACGTCTGCATCTGTGAAGGCGAAATCCAGCTGAGGAAAGGAAGGGGTAGTCAAAGGGAGTTGGGAGGCAAAGGAGGGATGAGAGAAGGGAGACGGGAGAGTGTGGATTATAGAAAAGAGTGTTCCCTCCTGCACCACGTCTGCGTCTGTGAAGGCGAAATCCACCTGAGAGGTATCATATGAGAGGGGACAGTAGAGATAACACAAAATTCCCTCCGAACCACATTATAACATGTCAGGGCAACACTGGGAAACTTTTGAACGTGACTTATGCTGGGAGAGAGTACCTTGGGATGCTCCTCGAGAGTTGACATCACCACCCCTGCTTGCGCAAGCTCTGCTGCTGCTGCTGCTGCCGTGCTGCCATGCAAGCATCAATGCAAGCCTTATCACAAGCATTAATACAGGTATGCAGCACAAATGTAGCTCTTTAGCATGTTCATGAGTGAAGGAGCAAAGCAAAAAAGCAAGAAGTTGCCGGCACCTCAAAGTGCAATAGTTGAGCTTACGTGGGCACGGAAATAATATCTCGCAGCGATCCGCTCTGGATCTTGCTGATGAGGTGGGTGAAAGCGAGAGAGGAGCTAAAGTGAATGGAAGCAATGACAGATGTGAATTTGAACTTACGTGGGAACGGCGATAATATCTCGCAGCGATCCGCTCTGAATTTTGCTGATGAGGTGGGTGACAGCGAGAGAGGAGCCAAAGTCTGACCCCACCCCCACCACCTTGCCACTACGGACAAAATCGTCCACCTGAACGAAAAGGAGAGGGGGAGGATGAGGCCAAAAGGAAAAAACAAATGGATGCGTTTGTGTGAAACTCCTTTATATATTCATTCGTTCTTCTACCATGCGAAGAATTTTGAAGCGCCTCAGAAGATTAGTTTGTGTGAAACTCCTTGGAGATTCATTCGCTCCTCATGCGTCACGGACTTATTTCACAGTTGGGAATGCGGGGTTGGGGGGGAAGGGTTGTGTGAGAGGAGAGGAGAAGATGAGGGAATGCTGACGGGCTGGGTGAAGAGAAAGGGGAGAGAGGAAGGGGGAGGGACAAAGAAAGTAAGGAGAGGGGACGGGGATCGGCAGACGGGTTTAAGGGAGAGAGAAGGGACGGAAAAGGAGGAGGAAGAGGGTGGGAGGGTTGAGGGGTTGGGGGAAGGGAGGTGGTGGAAGGAGGGAGATGGGACAGGAACGAAGTGGGGAGGGGGGAGATGGGGGGAGAATTCGAGAAGGAGGTGGGGAAGGGAGAGAAAAGGGGAAGAGGGATTGAAGAATGTGGTCGCAGCAGCCTGAAAAGAACATGGAAAGGGATGGACGGTAGTGAGAGACTTTTGAGTCGACTCAAAAGTTGCCAGGAAGTGGGAAAGGGAGAGAAAAGGGGAAGAGAGATTGGAGAATGTGGTCGCATCAGCCCGAAAGGAACAAAAGAAGGGCTGGACAGCAGTGAGAGGAGACCATAAGGTTACGACGAGAGGATGGATGAGACAATGCTGAACGGCTAGATGAGCGAAATAGGGTTACGAGGAGAGTTTCGTCTGTCCGAATCAACGCCTGTGGTTACAATGTAGCAGATCCAGCATTTACTACATCTCTTATTAGATCCTAGAAATTTATTATCCCTCACTAGCTGCCGCGCCGCGTCTTCCAGATTCGACCCCGAACCCCGTCCCCGTGGCGACGCCATCGCAACCACTCCAACCCTTCTCATTGGTCGACGGCTACTAACGAGGCTAACGAGTCGCGAGAATGCGGGAACGCGTGATTGGACAGGTGCCGGTTTTATGGTGAATGAAGACGACGGGAGCAAGGAACGGTACGGCGATACGGCATTGACGTCGAGCCGCACGAAGGATGATGTTGCGGCCGACATGATAACAAATGCTGCTGCTGTCGGTTCGGCCAGCAAGCCGTCAGGCTCACGTTGAAGTTACCGTTAGGACTCTCTAAGGCAGGTAGGTTTGGACTGCAAGCCAAGGCACATATCGAACTAGGTTCGGGGCAAACTGGACGGCGTCAATAGTTGCAAAATCTCACATGGTACAGTAATGGCGTTAATAGCTATCTGTTGTTGTCTTCACAAACCAATACCACTTTCAAGGTTATGTGAAGGGGAGTCAAAGAAACAGAAAGGGTTGTTGTTGCCAAGGCGATATTGCTGAAGCTTCTAATTTTCCATATTTTATCATATATATCACGTGCACACACATCAACACAACAATCTCTTTCTTAGCAATAGGCCTTTGAACGCCGTCGGCCAAAATATATTCGCCATTGATTTGCCTTCTTTCCCATCGATCGAGCTTAATGGAGAGAAAGTATATGGAGAGCAGGCGCAGCTGACTGTTGGGCTGAGACAACCCTTAGGATCTTTGCAAGGGTAAACTCTGGGTAGAGATGATGTAATAGCGGAAGCGTTTAATAAAGAAGTTGTGAACCACCTTGCGCTGGTATGTGAGGGCAAAGTAAGTTAATTAAAGCAAGCAAGTACAAAGATTTATATAAGAGTACAAGGAATACGAAGAGATACGACTGATAACTATTTTACTGTTTGCTGTTGCGGTTCGATACAGTGCGACTCGGGCAACTGCTCAATATCGAGTCAGTTGTGTGTCCTTGCTGTCGCGCTGCATTTGTCAGGTCAAAGGTCGCTGACCTTTGACTTTCGCGTAACCTCCAACAGTTACTTTCAACCTCCGAGGGTTGACTCGCGGGTGTCTCGTTATGATTTACTTCGCTTCTGGTGCGGTGTTTCGACACGACAGAGGCGCTTACGACTTGTTGTTTCCAACACTGACCACCCTTATTGGTGGCAAAAAGGCAATTGACCACCCTTATTGCGGGATCTTCGTCAGCTTCAACCACAAACCGTTATCCTAGGAATGGCGGGAGCTAAGAGGGGCGATGTGGCAGCTGCAGATGCATCAGGTTCCAATCCAGATGGTCTGATTGATGCAGTAGCAGCAACACCCGTCCACTCTCCGCCCTTGAAAGCCCTGTTCGCAATCTACCAATCCTTTAGATCACCGTTTCCCAATAAGTTAGCACCCCCTGGAGGGCAGCAAAAAGCACGGCGAAGCAGACTGCACCCCAATCGCCTCGACAAGACCCGATTCCACATCATTAGTTCTCATTATGTGATCTCTAAGTTGGGCTCTTTTCATCAGGTACTGGCCACGACAGCAGCTGGCAGATCACGAGGTAGCGGGGGAGAAACAAGGTACACAGCACAGTCCTGTAGGATTGACAGTGGGAAGCGGGGTGAGGGAAGAACGGGCGAGAAAGATGGGCAGGATACTTTGAAGGCATGCTCAAATGGGGTATGGAAATAAGACAGGGCTTTGGGTTTAGGGTGATGCGGCAATGCAGGAATGCAGGTACAGTAGAAAGACAACGATAGAGCAAAAAGAATGTCAGGGCAGAGGGGACAGAGAATCAGAGCACAATGGGGAACATTGCAACACACACCATAGTAGGGAACACAACACAAGAGCGACAACAAACCAAGAAGAAGAAGAACCACCACAGCATGAAAAGATTGTACCAAGGCAATGTTCAAGAAAAGGAAAAGAAAAGAGAAGAAAAGAAAACAACAAATCAAGTGAAACCAAAAAGACAACAAATAAGATGAACCCTTAAGGAGAGCGAGAAGCACCGTGGCTAAATTGCGTCACAAGCTTCCACCCCTTAGCCTTCTCATGCCGCTCCCGTGTTGAGCCAGGTGGTTTTACGACACTGCAACGCTGCACCCATTGCTCCACAGGAACACGCGCCTCTGCGGCGTGAAAGAGCTCCTCCAGACACGCGTTCACCTCTTCGATCCGCTCCCGCACCAGCATGTGCGCCCCTGGGAGCGGAGTGAACCGCGCCACTGCCGCCAGGCGCTTGGCCACCTTCTCACCCAGGGAGACATGTGCAACTATGTCGTCCCTGCAGGGAGGAAGAGAGAAGTAAAGGAGAAGGAAGAGAGATGAATAGATAAGGTGAGCAAACCACACAATGCCAGTCGCTTGGCCACCTTCTCACCCAGGGAGACGTGTGCTACTATGTCGTCCCTGCAGGGAGGAAGAGAGTTGGGCAAGGGAAGCAGGTTAGCCAGGTGTGCTTGCTCCCGCACCACCATGTGCGCCCCTGGGAGCGGGGTGAACCGCGCTACAGGTGCCAGTCGCTTGGCCACCCTCTCACCCAGGGAGACGTGTGCAACTATGTCATCGCTGCTGGGAGGAGGCATGAAGGGGGTGAGGAGGAAGGCGAGATAAGCATGGTAGACCAGGTTAGTGCGCGCTTAGCAGGAATTTTGTGTTTGCTGGTCCAGAACGAACAGAAAATCCCGGAAGGAAGCAGGCAGACGGACAGCACGATAATGGCTTGGCCACCTTTGGCCACCTCTGCCCACCTCTGGCCACAAGTGCCACCTCTGCCCACCTCTGGTCACCTCTGCCCACCTCTGGCCACCTCTGGTCACCTCTGCCCACCTCTGGCCACTTCTGGTCACCTTTGGCCACCTCTGGCCACCTCTGGCCACCTCTGGCCACCTCTGGCCACCTCTGGCCACCTCTGGTCACCTCTGGCCACCTCTGGCCACCTCTGGCCACCTCTGGCCACCTCTGGCCACCTATGGCCACCTCTGGCCACCTCTGGCCACCTCTGGCCACCTCTGGCCACCTCTGGCCACCTCTGGCCACCTCTGGCCACCTCTGGCCACCTCTGGCCACCTCTGGCCACCTCTGGCCACCTCAGGCCACCTCTGGCCTCCTCAGGCCACCTCTGGCCACCTCTGGCCACCTCTGGCCACCTCTGGCCACCTCTGGCCACCTCTGGCCACCTCTGGCCACCTCTGGCCACCTCTGGCCACCTCTGGCCACCTCTGGCCACCTCTGGCCACCTCTGGCCACCTCTGGCCACCTCTGGCCTTCTCAGGCCACCTCTGGCCACCTCTGGCCTCCTCAGGCCACCTCTGGCCACCTCTGGCCACCTCTGGCCACCTCTGGCCACCTCTGGCCACCTCTGGCCACCTCTGGCCACCTCTGGCCACCTCTGACCACCTCTGGCCATGTTTTGAGTTGACTCACAACACGGCTCATTTCACCTTTGGCCACCTTTGGCCGCCTTTGGCCACCTCAGGCCACCTCATGAGTTCACACTGAATAGAAAGAGACACTCACACTCCATGGATCACAGCAGTGGGGATGCGAGCGCTGCAGATGCTGTCAACGTTCTCTCGGGTCAGCTTGTGCGTCCAAACCAGACAACAGAGATGGCAGCTCACATACGCACATCATACACAGTATAGCATAGAACTACTCACACTCCATGAATGACGGCTGTGGGGATGCGAGCGCGGCGGATGCTGTAGACGTTCTCTCGGGTCAGCTTGTGCGTCCAAACCAGACAACAGAGATGGCAGCTCACATACGCACATCATACACAGTGTAGCATAGAACTACTCACACTCCATGAATGACGGCTGTGGGGATGCGAGCGCGGCGGATGCTGTAGACGTTCTCTCGGGTCAGCTAGTGCGTCCAAACCAGACAACAGAGATGGCAGCTCACATACGCACATCATACACAGTATAGCATAGAACTACTCACACTCCATGAATGACGGCTGTGGGGATGCGAGCGCGGCAGATGCTGTAGACGTTCTCTCGGGTCAGCTTGTGCGTCCAAACCAGACAACAGAGATGGCAGCTCACATACGCACATCATACACAGTATAGCATAGAACTACTCACACTCCATGAATGACGGCTGTGGGAATGCGGGCGTTGCAAATGCTTTCCACGTTCTCTCGGGTCAGCTTGTGCGTCCAAACGGCGTTAAAATGCCCGCTGGTAGCGTGTGGCGCCTGCATCGCCCCTGGCGCTGACAGATACTGCACGTACTCCTGCACACACGAGGAGGGGAATGAAGAGGTACACGATTAGCACGGGTGCATCTAGCATGAGTAGGAGTTGCTAGTTGAGTTCGAATGCCCGCTGGTAGCTTGTGGCGCCTGCATCGCCCCTGGCGCTGACAGATACTGCACGTACTCCTGCACACACGAGGAGGGGAATGAAGAGGTACACGATTAGCACGGGTGCATCCAGCATGAGTAGGAGTTGCTAGTTGAGTTCGAATGCCCGCTGGTAGCGTGTGGCACCTGCATCGCCCCTGGCGCTGACAGATACTGCACGTACTCCTGCACACACGAGGAGGGGAATGAAGAGGTACACGATTAGCACGGGTGCATCCAGCATGAGTAGGAGTTGCTAGTTGAGTTCGAATGCCCGCTGGTAGCGTGTGGCACCTGCATCGCCCCTGGCGCTGACAGATACTGCACGTACTCCTGCACACACGAGGAAAGCGGATGAAAGTAGAAACGGCCGATCCGGCAACTCAACTGAGTCAGTATCGAGACGCATCAAGGCAGCCGGTCGCACAATTTACGCAAGTCAACCTTGAGATGTCTCAAGACTCAGACGGGTACTTGCACGGCCAACACAATCCAGTCCGGTATGCACGTGTCACTTTTGAAAACGGCACGTGCATGCATCCAAGCATGTGCAGCGTTTCTCCAGCCACCTGGCCTCAGGTGGCGGTTATGACGCCCTTAATATTCAGTTCTGGAGAGACCTGCAGCAGCTGGTGCTAACGGATGCTGCAACGTTGCACCACAAGTGCTAGTGAGCGCTGCATCGCATGCAATTCATGTTGTACTCACCACATGAAGGAGGTCTCGCTGCAACGGGATGCCAACCACCAGTTGCAAGAATTTCTAGTCAGTGCATCACCAGATCCACGCGCGCTCTCGACTCCGGCGTGTGTGTTGTCACAAACCTCTCACCAGCCATATGAGCGTACATGTACATGCTGCACTGCTGCTCTACTCACCACTTGCAAAAGGTCTTTCTGGGACGAGCTGACGTTTCAGTCAACTCAAAAGTCACCTCAAGCCATATGAGCCTACATGTACATGCTCCAATGCTGCACTGCTGCTCTACTCACCACGTGCAAAAGGTCTTTCTGGGACGAGCTGACGTTTCAGTCAACTCAAAAGTCACCTCAAGCCATATGAGCCTACATGTACATGCTCCAATGCTGCACTGCTGCTCTACTCACCACGTGCAAAAGGTCTTTCTGGGACGAGCTGACATTTCAGTCAACTCAAAAGTCACCTCAAGCCATATGAGCCTACATGTACATGCTCCAATGCTGCACTGCTGCTCTACTCACCACGTGCAAAAGGTCTTTCTGCAACGAGCTGCCTGCCACCTGCTGCTGCATGAACTCCTTTGAAAATTGCATCACCAGATCCATGCGCGCTCTCATCGTGGGTCTCCTACATAGCAAATGCACTGCTGCTTTACTCACCACGTTCAAAAGGTCTTTCTGCGCCGAGCTGCCAACCATCTGCTGCATGAACTCCCTCGAGAAGTGCATCACCAGATCCACGCGCGCTCTGGACTCTGGCGTGCGTGCCGTCACCAGTTTCGTACCCACGGAGAAGAACCGTCGGTCGAGCTGGTATCGACATGAGGGATGAGGGATGAGGGAGACAAGGAGGGGAGAACAGGGAGAATGAGCAACAAGATCCACGCGCGCTCTGGACTCTGGCGTGCGTGCTGCCACCAGTTTCGTACCCACGGAGAAGAGCCGTCGGTCGAGCTGGTATCGACATGAGGGATGAGGGATGAGGGAGACGAGGAGGGGAGAACAGGGAGAATGAGCAACAAGATCGACGCGCGCTCTGGACTCTGGCGTGCGTGCCGTCACCAGTTTCGTACCCACGGAGAAGAGCCGTCGGTCGAGCTGGTATCGACATGAGGGATGAGGGATGAGGGAGACGAGGAGGGGAGAACAGGGAGAATGAGCAACAAGATCCACGCGCGCTCTGGACTCTGGCGTGCGTGCCGTCACCAGTTTCGTACCCACGGAGAAGAACCGTCGGTCGAGCTGGCATCCAGGGATGAGGAAGACGAGGAGGGGAGAATGGAAGAAATGAGCAGCAAGGTCAACACGCGCTCTGGACTCTGGTGTGCATGCCGCCACCAGCTTCGTACCCACGGAGAAGAACCGTTTATCGAGCTGGCATCCAGGATCCAGGGACACGAGGGAGACGAGAAGGGAACAAGAGAAGTAACTAGCAGCAACGTTCCACGCACGCTCTGGACTCTGGTGTGTGTGCTGTCACCAGCTTCGTACCCACGGAGAAGAACCGTTTGTCAAGCTGGTAACCAGGAAAGGGGTAATGGGGAAGAATTCGGGACGGGAGAAGGGGAGAGAGGAGGGAGAAGGGGGGGAATGACAGAATGGACCTTGCGCAGATGGGTCATGTGCAGAAGCACTTAAGAGGAACACACAGAACAGGTGCAAGGACAACAAAGAATACTCGCATACCATACTCGAGGTCGCATACCATACTCAAGGTCGCATACCCTGGGCAGGACGTCAAAGCCACCACGGCTGGTGCTAATAAGGGCAAAAAAATCTCAAGCTTTGAATCGACCCATCCACGATGCCACAGAAGACCCGCATACCAGTTTGTCTCCCTCTTACCGACCAAGCCGCATACCCTGGGCAGGATGTCGAAACCGCCACGACTGGTGCTGATGAGAGCCAGGGATTTCAGGTTTCGAATCGACTCATCCACGATGCCACAGAGGACTCGCTCGCTCGCCAGTTTGTCAGCCGCATACCATACTCAAGGCTGCATACCCTGGGCAGGATATCGAAGCCACCACGGCTGGTGCTGATGAGCGCCAGGGATTTCACTCGGTGGGGAGCGGTGGCAGCCACTTTGGTCGCGATCATGCCTCCCATGGAATGCCCCACCAGGTGGAAATGCGTCCAGCCGAGGTGATCCGCCAGACGAAGTGCATCCATCGCCATGATCGTAGTTCTGGAGAATATGGAAGTGAGGAGAATGAGCAAACTGAGTGCATCTTGAGTTACTGAAAGATGGGAGGGAGGAAACGGGCCTCGAGCGAGACACTTGGCGTGCTGAAACGACGGTGCCTGGAGGTGAAACATGCTAGATGAGACGAACAACTGGCGTGACCAATAGGCTTTTGCTGCTGAAAGACATTAGGCGTCTACTTGACACGCAGCACCAATAGAAAATACGCACGTGTATGCTTTCTTGTCGGTGGGGCACGTGCTCTTGCCTATCCCTCGGTTGTCAAATACGCATACCTCCCTGCCTGTGAAAGAAACATCTTCCTCTTCTTCGTACTCTTCCTCTTCATCCACTTCCCCCCCTTCCTTCTCCTCCGCGCATCCTTCCGCTTCCCTCTGCTCCTCCCCCCCTTCCTCCAGCCTCAAAGCCGCTTGCTCAAGGCCTCTGTCCGCTGCAGCTTGCGCATCACTCCTTTCCTCCACCCCCTCTACGGTCACCGTTAGTGTCTCTGCCACTGTACAGCTACCTGTGTCATTGCATTCAGTCCGGTCGTCCATGCGCACTGCAGGTGGAGCGGTGGCATTGTCATTCGAGCCAGTGGCTGGTGCTGCATCAGGAGGTGCTGCAGATGAAGGTGCGGCGGAAGGCGCTGCAGCGGAAGGATCTGCAGCGGAAGGTGTTGCAGCGGAAGGCATTGCAGCAGGAGGTGCTGCAGCGTAAGGCTCTGCAGTGGAAGGCTCTGCTATGGAAGGCGTTGCAGTGGAAGACTTTGCGCCGGAATCCGTTTTAGACTTCCTCGACATCCGTTTGCTGTTGGGGATGTCGGTGCCTGAGAGCGGCTTGATCTGCGGCCACCATGCGTTGTGCATGGCAGCAAAGCCTGCCACGCGTAGAGGATTTAAGAAGGCTAGATGAATAAGCGACCATGCCAGTGTCGCCGACATGTGATGATGAGTACACTGCCAGGATTCTAGATCTGCCCTCTGAGGCTCCTGCAAGACGAAGTCTTGGAGTCTATCCCGGAAGAGACCTAAAAGAACCTTTCTGAGCGCCAATATGACCCTACTAGTATAACCCATATGTGACTCAGGTGTATTTCCAATACACTTATAAAATAGGGTCGCATACTTTGTCCTCTAAATATCTTCCAGGACACATTTGGACAGATTCGGGACAGCAACAGTTAAAAGATATCGACAGGGGGACTTCAGCTGTCGGCACAGAACCTCAAGAGACACAAATCATCTAGAGTATATTGAATCTCAAATTTAGTATTGAGGGCCTCAACGTGTCATGTCACTTACCCATGATCATAAGCACTTTCGTGTCGCCTTTGCCATAAGTCTCGTAGAACAATTTCACTTGTCCGTCATCGCTGTTTTCAGTCCTTTTCGCACTCGCTCCGTTGTTTCCCTTTTCACTGCCTGCATTTGACGGAATTACACAGTACGGCATCTTGAGTGCTTTCTCCGCTTTTGCAGTTTCTAATGCTTTTGCTGCGCCCGGTTTCACTTTTCGAGAGTAAGGAAAGGGACGGGAAGCGGAGTAGCAGAACGGAAACTTCTAGGAAAACGAAAGATTATAGAAACAACCTGACTGTGCAACAACAGCAGGCATGCCATGGGTCGCTGTGGTTGCTCAAGAACAGCATTCAGGCTTTTGTACTAGCTAGCGTTGCGCAGAGACATTCGATAAGTCCTGTGACTCACTGACTAGACTCCATGTGATTCGATCGTCTACATTCGAATTGCTCTATGTATAAATTAAAAACGGAGGAAATATATTGACTGCAATAATGCGTCAAGTTGAGCGAGTCTGGTTAGTCTTAATGCCAGAGGAGCTGTGTGGCTTGCTTGCACTCCCAAATGCCGTGGAACTGAACGAAGCCAGTGTTTGCAGCCAGTGTTCGGGTTGAGTTGTGTGAGCTTGCACCCAGCATGCTTGCTGCGGGGGGGAGTTCCGCGTTCTGAAAGGTTCATTCAAGGGAAGTTCCGCACGTGTTGTGTCTGTGGTGATGTCGCTGCCGGGGAGCGATGGCGAAGGGGGCGAAGCGAGGCGCTGACAGCAGGGATCTGGTCTGGATGTCAGGCTTGTGTTTCCTCTCTACAAGATCCCTGTCTACAAATCTTCGTGCCTGTAAATGTTAGTAAACATGCATTCCTGGATAAAACCAAGGTGAAGGGAGACAAATAAAACACAGATAGTGCATGCTTCTCCCTTGCAGGGATGCTCCACTTAGCTCGTGCAGAATTAAAAACTCCCATTATATTGTATGTCATAATAATTCTACACAGGGGCCTTCAACACACACGAAACTCTATGTTAGCAATGGAGCTGCAAACACAGTAGGCCAAACTATCCTGGCCATTTATTTGCCTCCGTATCCATCGAGCTTGATGGAGAGGCAGTATAAGAAGAGGAGCCGTTATTGTGGGAATGTCAGGGGCGAAAAGGGGCGACGTGGCAGCCGCAGTTGCTCCAGGTTCCAACCTTTTTGTCGACGCTGTTAAGCACCAACCGCTATTGTGGGAATGGCAGGGGCAAGAAGGGGCGATGTGGCAGCTGCAGATGCACCGGCCTCCAACCCAGATGGTGTAATCGATGCTGCAGCAGCAGCAGCAGAAAATGCTCTCCACTCTCCACCCTTCAACCCTCCGTTACCGATCTCCCCATTCTTCAAATCGCCGCTTCCCAGGAAGCCAGCACCCCAAGGAGGGCAGCAGCAGCTCAGCGATGCAGGTTCTGCATCACTTGCATCAGCAAGACCCGACTCCACATCATTTACGTCAGAGTCCTCATTCACGGATTGATAGGTTGGGCTCTTTTCGTCAGGTACTGGCCATGACAGCAGCTGGCAGATCACGAAGTACAGGGGGAGAAACAGGGTCCACAGCAGAGCCCTGTAGGTGCAACAAGGGGCGTGGGGGAAGGGAAAAAGGGGGAAGAGGGAGAAGAAGAGGGACAAGAGGGGTGAGGAAGGGTATGAAAATGGGATTCGATGCGGGCGCACAAGGTACCGCAAAGAAATAGCAACAGAGGAAGATGCATACAAACGCGGAGAAGGGCAGAGGACAACGGATGCGCATCAATTAACACCCCAGACCCAGCAAGGAGCTCATGTGGGGCTGTAAGAGAGAGAAGAGGGGTAAGAAGAGAGAAGAAGAGTACGAAAATAAGCAAAAAGAAGAAAGAAAAACAGAGGGAGAGCGTGCAGCACCGTGCCTGAATTGCGCCGCGAGAGTCTTCTTCTTGGCCTTCTCATGCTGCTCCCTGGCCGAGCCAGGCAGGTCCAAATCACTACGACTCCGCACCCACTGCTCCACGGGCACACGCGTCTCCCCGGCGTGAAAGAGCTCCTCCAGACACGCGTTCACCTCGTGCGTGCGCTCCCGCACCACCATGTGCGCCCCTAGGAGTGGGATGAATCGGGCTACGGACGCCAGGCGCTTGGCGACCCTCTCGCCCAAAGAGACGTGTGCAATAATGTCATCCCTGCAGGGAGCGAGAGAGAGAAGGAAAACAGAGAAACAGAGAAGGTGAGGGAACCGGAAAAGCTAAAGGCCACAGCTGGTGCGTGTGTGCAATGCGGGTGGGTGTGTGATGTGTGAAACAAACAGCAGAGAGGCCATATCAGATTCTCTCAGTATAGCTTAGAGCTACTCACACTCCATGGATCACGGCGGTGGGGATGCGGGCGCTACAGATGCTGTCAATGTTGTTGCGGGTCAGCTTGTGCGTCCAGCACGCGTTGAAATGCCCGCTCGCTGCATGTGGCGGCTGCATTGCCCCTGGCTCCGACAGAACCTGCACGTACTCCTGCACGCACGAGGCAGAGAAATGGAAGGAGAAGGGACAGGTCGATCCAATGAGGCAGTTTTCAAATGCATGAATACTTGAACAAGCAATCACATTGCGAAGGCGAGTCAGTTTTGAGACGTCTGTTTCACGCATCCAAACTCGAGTGGGCAGCCAAAGGGTCTAAGTCAGTGTTGCTCTGCTGCTCTGCTCACCACGTGCAGCAGGTCCCTCCTCAAAGAGCCGCCAGCCACCTCGTCCATGAAATCCCTCGAGAAGTGTGTGTCCAGGTCCACGTGCGCCCTCGTCTCGTTGCGTGCCTCAACGCAACCCACTCCCCAGTCAGTCAGCAGTCAGTCAACAGTCAGTAGTAGTAGGGAGTTAGTTGCCTACCACGTGCAGCAGGTCTCTTCTTGAAGAGCCGCCAGCCACCTCGTCCATAAAATCCCTCGAGAAGTGCGTGTCCAGGTCCACGTGCGCCCTCATCTCGGGCGTACGCGCCTTCATCATCCTCACGCCCACGGAGAAGAGCCGGCTGTCGAGCTGGATAAAAGGGAAGGAGAGAGGGGTAGGAAAGGCGCAGGAGAACAGAAAGAATGAGCAACAAGGTCCACGTGCGGCCTCATCTCGGGCGTACGCGTTTTCATCATCCTCACGCCCACGGACAAGAGCCGGCTGTAGAGCTGGTTAACAAGGAAGGAGAGAGACGGAGAGAGACGACGGGGGGGAGAGGGGGGTGGAGAGGGAGACAGAGAGGGGAGAAAGGAGCAGGGAAACAGAAGTGAGCAACGCATTCACACATTCAAGAAACGCGCATTGACACGTGCAGCACTGACAGAACGAGCCTTGCGCACACACGCATTCAAGAGCAACGCACGGAGCACGGTCCGCATACTCTGGGCAGAAGGTCGAAGCCGCCGCCACTGACGCTGATAAGCGCCAGAGATTTCACTCGGTGGGGAGCGGTGGCAGCCACTTTACTGGCGATCATGCCTCCCATGGAGTGCCCCACCACGTGGAAATGCGTCCAGCCGAGGTGATCCGCGAGATGTAGCGCATCCATCGCCATGATCGTAGTTCTGGTGAATACATAGAAAAGAGATCGCCAAGAGTGCAAAAAGAGAAGGTGTACATTGAGTTGACCGTGCACGCTGAAAAGATATTGGCCGGGAGAAACAAAATGCCTGACAAGATGAAACACTTAGAGTAACCGACAGGCTTCTACTGTCTAAACGACAGTGACGACCTCTTGACACACGAAGCAACATCAGCAAATACGCACGTGTATGCATTCTTGTCGGTGGGACACGTGCTGTTGCCAATCCCTCGGTTGTCGAAGACGCAAACCTCCCTGCCCGTGAGAATCAATTCCTCCTCCTCCTCCTCCGCGTCTCCTTCCGCTTCCCTCTGCTCCTTCCCCCCTTCCTCCAGCCGCAAAGTCGCTTGCTCAAGCCCACAGTAAGACACAGTTTGCACATCTCCCCGCGCGTCCACCCCCTCTATTGTCACCGCAACCGTACAATCACCATTTTCGTTGCATCCAGACCGGTCGTCCATGCGCATGGCAGGAGGAGCGGCGGAATTGTCGTCCGAGCCGGTGGCTGGTGCTGCTGCAGCGGAATCCCCTGCTGTAGCGGAATCTGTTTTAGGCTGCTTCGACGTCCGTTTGCTGTTGGGGATGTCGGTGCCAGAAAGCGGCTTGATTTGCGGCGACCATGCAATGTGCGAGGCAGCAAAGCCTGCAAAGGGTAGCAAATTCAGAAAATAGTAAGAAAAAATGAAATTGATCGCCCGAGAAAAAATCAGCTCTCCCCATAGTCTTCAAAGCAGAATAGAAACAGGCCATCAAAAGTGTTATGAGTTTCTAAATTCGTGTTGAGCGCCTCAGCGTGTTACTTACCCATGATCATGAGCACTTTCATGTCGCCTCTGCCATAGGTCTCATAGAACAGTTTCACTTGTCCATTATCGCCGCTTTCTGACGTTTTCGCACTCGCTCCGTTGCTTCCCTTCCCACTGCTTGCATTCGTCGGAATCACACAGTACGGCATCTTGAGTGCTGGTATTTGCTTTTGCTGTTTCTGTTGCTTTTGCTGCACTCGGTTACTCTCTCCGAGGACCGAAAAGGAACGACAGAAGGAGTAGCTGAGAGATGCAACAGATTGAAAAGACCGAGGGACTATTTAAAGAACCTGGCTGCTCGATGGCAGCAAGGGGCTGCCACAGCAAGGGACGCTGATTAAAGATAGCGTCCCCAAGCTCTGCTTGTACTAACTAGCGCTGTGCAAGCGGATGCTTCCGAGAAGTCTAATGAGGAACTAGACTTCCTGTAATCTGATATGGATCGCTTGAGTTTTTCAAAAACGGCAGAAATATAGGCTGCAATAATGGCAAAATCGAGAGAGTCGAGTTGAATGGGGGCTCCTGCGTCTGATTGACTTATATGTGGTGCTGTGGATTCTCTTCCATCCGAATGCCACGGAAGTGGCCAATGTTCACAGCCTCGTTTCAATTGGTACTACTGCTGCGAGGAGGTTGAGTTTGAGAGTCCCATGTCGAGCGCGGAAGCGAGGGCGCAGCGGGGGAGTTCCGCGTGTGGTGCGTCCTGCCTCTGTCTGTGCGGTATCTCGCTGGAGCGGGGGAACTGGTAAGCGCTGGCGGGGACTGACAATATCGCTGGCGGGGGTGATGATGAGAGGCGCTGACATTCAACGACTCCGCTTGCCCCGCTCAGCTTGGTTCGCCAGCAACAAGTCCTAAAGCCCTGTTTGGAATGGGATGGCCTGAACAGGTGGGTTTGGTAAGGTATTTTTTCGTAACATTGTTTTCCAGTACGGTTCTGTAGTTTGTTACTGAATGGTCGGGAACAATTGTGGATGTTGATCCGTTTCGCCTTGGGACTGCCGCGAGAGACGCTTCGAAGTTGATTGGCTAATTAGCCTGACCAAGTTGAACGCGTCCCGCCAGACCTTATTGGTCAGCAGGTGAAGAGCCTTGTTGATGACGGGAACATTCGCAATTCCCAAGAAAGCCGGCCGAACCGCCATGTCCCCCTTTCGCACTGCCTGCAGTGACCGAGCGAATTCTCCGACGACCGATTTTCCGACCAAGAGGGGGAAAACTGGCTCGGCTGCGTCAACAAGTTGGCATGGCAGTCGTTTGGAAGGTGTGGTAGTAAAGCGTTTGCCAGACGTTGGGGAAGAATCGTCCACTCGTCGGGCATGCGGTGGTGTGCGACACTGCTGCTTCTCGGAGCCTCAGCCTCGGGTTCATCGAAAGGTCCAAGAAAGTTTTGCTGCCTTGAAGTCCTGGCAACCTGGGCAGCAGTTCCTTCGACTTGGCGAGCTTCGGCACAGGAAGATAGGTGTGGTATAGTGCGGTTATTTTTTTTTTTCTCACAACGCAAACCACACGATGTTCCATGTACATGCGGATGCATTTACATTTCATCGCACAATTTTGGAGACATATCATCCACTCAGCACGCATGTGCTTGACTTCAGCAATATTGGCGCAAGTATCCTTCACACTTGCTTGAGCAAGTGTACTGGTGAACCCACCCCCGATATTCAGGCAGTACACTTGCTGGAGTTCGCTGCTTTGGCGCAAGTGTACTGGTGAACCCACACCCGATATTCGCCAAAGCATCGAACTCGATATATATTATGGGTGCTGGGCCTTGTTCTTCAACCGTCTCTACTAGCTGTTCCTTTTAATGAAACGTTTTTATGCAGCCAAAATATTCACAAGATTTAGACATCCTCATGATTGTATGTCACACAGTTCGCATTTTTCTTAGGACCGAAGCTTCATTAGCGCAAAAGAAATGATGTTCATACAGGACTTCCAGCCGTAAAAAAACTATCCTCAAAGATTTGCTAAGCAACTCAAAATATGGTCACGAGCTTGGTGGAACATATCTGGGGGCAATGGAGTAAATAAATTCCTTCTCTGCAGAGACATGCTTCGTCGCTCTCTTCTTCAAACCTGCCGGTTGCACTCTAGCCGCTGCCGCCGCAGCAAAAGCACCCGATCCAGCTCCCCTCGAAGCAGCAGCAGAAGCCGCTGCTCCACCTGCCGAACCTGCTGACCCTGCTGAACCTGCTTGATGTGGCGCTGAGGGGTCATGTGTGAGGCACTTGATGCGGATCTGATTCTTCTCTATCAGCCACCGCAGCATGAGCTTCATGTGCCGCTTGCTCTTCACACCCGCTTCCTGATGAGGAATGTGAGGTAGATCGGGGAGGTGTGAAGGGGAGGGGACGGCAGAAACGGGAAGACGAGGGTATGACAGTAGTCATGTGTGAGGCAACTGATGCGGATTTGATTCTTCTCTATAGGCCAGCGCAGCATGAGATTCATGTGCCGCTTTCTCTTCACGCCCGCCTCCTGATGAGAAGGGATGAGAGGTTGATTCGGGAGACGAGAGGGGGAAGGGGAGACGAGAGTACGACACTAGTCGTGTGTGAAGCACTTGATGCGGATCTGATTCTTCTTTAACAGCCACCGCCGCATGAGCTTCATGTGCCCCTTGCCCTTCACGCTCGCCTCCTGGTGAGGGAGGATGGGAAGATATGGGGAGATGCAAGGGGGGGGATGGGAAGGGAAGCAGGGGTAGGGAGAAGAGAGTATGACACATTCCATGTGCGAGAGGCATTTGATCGATTAAACCCCATAATGCCTTCCCATGAGCCACTGCAGTATGAGCTTCATATGCTGTTAGCACTACACCCCCACCTCCTGGTGAGGAGTAATGGGGTGTGAGGGTGATGGAAGGTTGAGGAAAAGGAGCAGAGAGGACTGCACCAGGTATATGTGTGTGGGGCAATTGATTAATTGAGACCAAGGAGCCCCTATTCTCTGAATCAGGTGGGTGAATGAACCATACGAAGAATAGGGTTTCAACCGGCTATTGCATAAATGTACATTGGGAGTGAGATTGTGTCACCACAGCATGTGACAGGAGGAAGGCAAACAAAAAGCATGAAAAAGAGACGCAAAAAAAAGAAAACAAGTAATGCAGGGAGAAAGGGGGAAGAAAAATGAGCACAACAATTGCCCACCCCTTCTCCTGCTCACACTGCTGATGACCTTTTTCCTTCGTTTCCTTCTGATGTCTTGCTTTCCTTTTGCTTTCTTCGTTTCCTTTTGCTGTCTTCGTTTCCTTTTGCTGTCTCCGTTTGTTCGTAAAGCAATGAGAATAAGGTTTACTATATTCCTCAAACTGACCCTTTGTCATACCCCTTACCAATGAATTAGCACACGCTGGCACATCTCCGCGCCTCGACATCCCACGTCCGTAATACCTCGTTATAAGGCGCTTCATAATCGACACAAGATGTTCTTATTACCTTTGCGCGACGCCGTACCACCTTCTGATTACCTCTGCATGCGTCCATAGCACGTTCTTATTGCACGGTCCGTGCTCCCGCACTATCCGGAGGATAACCGCCGCGGAACCCTTCTCCGCCGCCTCGCCCACGTGCGTCTGACGGGCCGCGAGGCGCAGCCACGTGGCGAACATCGGTAGGCAGAGAGCAGCGACGCGGTGCTACGCGGCGAATCTCAAGACGTGTAGAGCTGCTAAGAGGACGTCAGGGAGTATTCTCTCGCGACGATGGATTTAGGGATTTGAAGCG